TATCTTCTTCGTCTTTGCTCTCTCCGTTCATTCTCTCATTTTCTTCCCTTTTTCCTGTTTTTTGTCAGGTTTCTGGTGTTACCAGAACTGACACTACGACACTAAGGTCCTACGAACCGCTTTGATAACTAACGATGATTTGACATCACAATCTGCCAGTAGACGGTCCTCTCTAGTACTTACCGGTGTACTTGCAGTGTGAACTGAAAACACGCTGGAATCAAAACGCAGGCGTGCGACGATGAGATAAAGTATTCGAAGTATGCGAAAATCCGGGTCTTGGCGCCGCGTCTGGTCTCAAAAAAAGTCCCACGACCTGTGATATTATTTTTGTTAATAAATAACCTGAAAGGAATGACCGTTATATGTGCTGGTTTGCCCGTATGCATATATTTATGGTCATAAATATACCACTTCTACGCAGCTTCCAATTACAGAACGATAAAATTCTTCATAAAACCTCTGAATACATGTATATTTAGAGCTAGCAAATTATTTCTTAATCAAATTAACAAATTATTAGTACATTGAACGGAACAAGTAATTATGACTTTCATGGCTAATAATTACAACGCTAAAGAAGGAACTTGGGTTATGAAATTAATTTATATAGGGTGGGCCATCCGTTTTTTAAATTGGTATTAAAACTACACTCTTCAATTATTATTATTATATATATATATATATATATATAGGTGAAAAATTAAAGCTTCCGCTTTTTGTTGGGAACTTCGACATAATTTAAGCAAAGAGGACTCTTTATACTTTTTTTAATTCTCTCTAGCTTTCAATGGACTTTGCCATCATCATCAGGAGCTGCAATTACAATGATAACAGTAGCAACAAAAGTGTAAAATGAATTTAAATTGAATCAACTTACAGTAGTATGTGAGGATGTTGCTAATTGTTGTTTTCGTATAGGATGAGGGAAACGTCCAGTAACATGGTGAGAGCTGGATACATGGTACAATGGTTAAAATTATATAAAATATGACAAGACAAGTTAAAGACAGATTAAAAATTATTTAGAAAACATTAGAGCATTACGTCGTGAAGCCACTTGATGATTGCATAAAATGGTGGTCATAGAATAATGAGTGAGATGAACCTTTGACAGAAGGCCGAAGGTTGTCAATGTCTGTGTTAAAAGATGGAACGAATTGTGGGCGTGTGCCAAAACGTTGCCAAATCACTTCAGATGATGTGATTTTCAGAATGTTATGTAAGAAATTGTTAAACCGACCAGAGGCAGTTGAATAAACTATATTTTAATTGATGGGAATTTTAAATTAATAATTATTAATAAATCGTGAGAAGAGAATTATTAGATTTTGAGTGGAATGAAATTTGTTGGTGGAATCGGCCAAAACACAGATTATATTTATAGTTGTGAAAAGTCGAAATTTGGGGAAATATGAGTAAATGACACTCAGTTGTTTAATATCTGTCTTTTTGTTGATACAGTTGTTATTCATGAAAATGTGGGACATTTCCAGGAATAAACGTTTGGAAAGGTGTTTTTCTTTATCAAGAACTTTGATACTTGTGTAATTCATAGAATGCCCTGTTGTGTTAACATGAGATGCTAGAGCGCATCTTTCAGGATGAAGCCTAGCATCACTTTTGTGTGATGTAATCCTTCATTTAAGAGATCTGGAGGTCTGACCTATGTATATTTGGTTGCAGTTGTTGCAATACAATTGCACAACTTAAAAAAGACTACCATAGCAGTCGAAACACCTCAAAGCTTTTCCAGAAAATAAAAATCTGCTGGGGATCAGGAATTGCACTACAGAATAAGTTTAAGAACGATAAGTAGAACAAAAATTAACATACTGAATAAACCGTGAAGTCTTCGATGCATTTATTATATTATCATTTATTATTATATTTATCTTCAAGGGAGCTAAACTCTCCTTTTACCACCTACTCATGTGATGAGTGGTGCTCCTATATCTCACAGATATCATGTTGTTTATCATGTGAAAAACATTTCAATATTTCCAAGACGGCGATTCACAATACTAATACAAGGTTTGTCGCAAAGTAAATAGGACAAAGAAAAACATTTTTTGTTTCGGAAAATCTAATTTATTTTATCCAAAATAGTCTCCTTCAGAGTTAATACAGCGATTTGTACGGACCAAAAGATTTTCGAATGATGATTTTAGCTCATTGACCGGGATGTCCTTCAAAATGATCGTCGACGCCTTTTGGATGGCCTCTACGTCGGCATATCGCTGTCCCTTTATGGCCAAATGTAGTTTAACGAACAGAAAATAATAATAATAATAATAATAATAATAATAATAATAATTTATTGATGTTAATACACAGAAAGTGTTTACACAAGTCAATATATACTCATAGAACGCTTAGAAAAATCTACATCAAACATGAACGCATAATTACCAAAAGCAATTTGAAAAAAAAACAATACAAAAATGTCACGAGATAAAAGAAGATCGCTAAGAAAAATATATGTATAATACAATTAACTATACACATACAGACAAACAAAACAATAACAACTGTACATATTCGTCCGTGCTAAAGAATGCGTTTTTTATTAAATAATACTTGAGTTTCCTACGAAAAACATCAATATCCAATGTTTTTATATGTTGGGCAGCAGATTAAAAAATTTAATGCCATTAAAGTTTGTTCCAACTCTTGATTTTTCTAGACGGTAGTTATTATGACAAATGATGTTTCTATTTCGTGTTTCATACTTGTGGTTATCACTATGAGTGGGGAAGGTACTAATATTACTTTTAAAATATAGGAGACAACTCAAAATATACGCGCATGGAAGGGTTAGTATGGCCAATTTAATGAATTCAGCCTTGCAGGGGCCTCTATATTTCAAACCAGAGATGTATCGTATACAACGCCTTTGCATGCCAAACACTTTTTGCATATGTGGAGAGTGTCCCCAGACCAAAATTGCATATGTCATTTTAGAGTGGAAATGTGCATGATAAGTAGTTAATAAAACTTTATCAGATACTCTATCCTTTAGACTACGTATGAGATATACGTATAACTCTGGACAAACGATCCACCACACAGCGAGTATGCACCTCCCATGTCAGAGTACAGTCAATATGAACGCCATAGTCACACGGTGCCATATCAGGAGAATATGGTGAGTGGTTGATGGTTAAAATGCCACATTTTCTGTGACGCGAAAAAAGTCTGACATGTTATCTCTGTTGACAGGTAACAAAATGTCACTTTTTATCAAATTAGTTTTTTGCCAGCGAAAAAAATGAGGGCTTTTCTCCCGGATATTGTATAAACACATAAGCAAAGGTAGATATTTAATTTTAGAATATTTTATTATACAATGAAGTTACATTTCCTATATATTAAAAGTACAATTATTAAATGTGCATTGCACGAATGACACGTCCCTTAAACTATTAGGTACAACAGTCGAATTTTCTTGCGTCGAAATTATATGTTTTTCTGCCATCACAACTCCCGTTGATGTACTTGGTCGCAAATCCGGTGTTATTTCAGCACTACCACACGTTCTAAACACTTTATTAGCTATTTCTATCCTGTATGGTACCGATTCATCAACATACCCTTCAGCGACCATCTTTCTTTAGTGTCATCAAGTCTCCCCAGATTCAACTGAAAGTGTAGCAGACGATCTTCGAAATGCATGACCTGTATATGAGTTAGCATTATCAAGTTGAAGAAAATTAGCCACTGTTTCTGGAACCTCACAAAACTGGTTTTTACCCTCAACGTGATTGATACATTTTCCATTGTGATATGCATAAAACAGGCGGCGATCCTTTGCTGCTGCTGGACGAAGCCCAACTAGCAAAGCAGTGGTATAAGCTTTTGGTAAAAGAACCGTTCAGCCATAAAAGCTCTCTACTGTTGTTGCCTGAACACCAAAATGCTGGCTTAATGTTGTGTGGAATGCAAATTTGCTTTCTGCAAAATATTTGCTCTAAAATGAGGTGTTTAAGATATTCTTATAGCGTAGTTATCCAACACCTTATAGGGCAAATTTTTAACTGTTGCATAAACGTTTATACAACTATTTTATACGGCATACTTGCACGTTAGTCAAAATGGTTTTGTTGTGGCATCCATTGTAACGTATATAAAACAAACCCGAGCCTTGTTGTTTTGCTGTGCAATTTACTGCTTTAGCCAACAAATTGCTCCCAACGGAAGCACTTATACAACTGTTGTTTAGTAACTGTTAAAGGCTGTACATATGCTAAATATGTTGGTATACAACTTCACCATAACCTAACTTTCTGCTGTCATATTTTTGTTAAAATGCCATAACCAATGTTTCAAGACAAACAACGCATGCATATTGGTTCAAAAGGTTTTATCAACTGTTCAAACAGAAGATATAGATCTGGTACAAATTCTGGGTAAATCATTCGACTCTGTCGGTATTTCATTTCAGACATTATTTGTCAAATTGTTGTATAACACCTGCAGGCAACACCAGAATATTCTAATAAACTAAAGACAACATGGACGATGCCATGATTATACACAACCACCCGCCATATTGGGCAAACATGTATTCCTCTATTTAATATAAATAATTATGTTTCAGTTCGAAAGTACAGATATAAAGTGATAAACATTATTGTAATTGTGTCTAGATATAGGATTTGTGAAAGATTTAACGCAGATAAGTTCAGTTTTCCATCTTAAAAATCTAGACATAGTTTTGATCATTGAGGAGCAGACTTTCAAAAAGCATTGAGTGCAGTTTTTACGAAATGGCCAAAAGATGGCGATCAAATGTATAGGTTCATCTCCATTTGTCAACCGCTCCTTGGACATCCAAAACGATGTTAAACGATAAATATAACGCCCGTTAATACGTCTAGAATTTCAAAGAGCGTTATTTTTTTCTGCGTTGGACATACAAATAGACTTTGATAAGCTAGTTAGTGCATGAACACTTTTTGTTTGTCCAGTATATTTTGGATGAGCAGCAAGTAAACCCTTTTGTTTTCACACGTGTCTCAAGATTGTAATCCTGTCGTAACTTGCTTCAGTTAGCATAGTGATATCGAGTGGGTTAGATCGGTCGGACCACTATTATGGATGAAGAGCATATTGTTGGTGATCAAGACAGAGGCAGTAGAAAACGAAAATGGGGTGCAACATAACGGCAGCGGCAGAAAGAAACACGGTAGATATAGTAAATTATGTTATTTGGGGAATTTTCTCATAGTTTGCGGTTTTATTTCTAGATACGATGACCCTGATCCCAACCTTGATGGTTTCGAAGTCTCCTGTAAGCATGGCAGAAATAAAAAAACTTTCATGTAAGGATATTCCTTTCGAAGATCTAAGGCGCTGCCGACAAAAGTTTTATTCACAAAAAGACAAGGTTAAGCAAGATACGAAACTGTCTCATTTAATTGAAATTGGAACTCCTAGGAGAAAGAAACGTTCAGACCAAAGCTTTACTAGAAACCGCAACATTACTGTGAATTACAATGTGTGGAGCTCCAACAGCAAAAAAAGAATTTGGCAGAAAATGTTTTTAAAAATTTTTGGTATTAGTCAGAAACGCATACAAAATATTTCTAGGCAAATGAAAGCTGGATCGGGTATTTCTGAAAATCGTGGTGGTGACAGACGTTCGCAGAAAAATGTGAAAAAGCGCAAAAAAGTGAAAGCATTCATCGCAAATTTAAAGGGACAAGAGAGTCACTACGGAAGAGCGAAATCCAAAAGGATAAATTTATCTGCAGAGTACAATATCACCATACTACATAGGCTATACAATGATAGCGTTGAAGAAATCTATAAAGTAAATTACGTAAGTACTTTAGTCGCATTTTTTCGAATGACTTTAACATAGGATTCGGTACACCGGCGACCGATGTTTGTGGATTCTGTAAGCGGCACCTAAATCTGCTCTCTATGGTGAACGCCCAACGCGAAAAGCAAACTGTTATTACAAATTTAAGAGTACATAAGTTACGAGCAAATCAGTTTTTTAAAATGATGAAGGAAAAATCTGAAGACGGCATGGCATTCTGCTTCGATCTTCAGCAGGTACAACCTCTCCCTAAAGTACCGATTTCAGAGGCATTCTATGCACAGCAACTCTCCTTGTATGTTTTCTGTATCACAGAAATATCTTGCAAGCGACCAATTTTCTACTCATGGTTCGAACACCAAGCAGGAAGGGGTGCCACAGAAGTTGGTTCTGCTCTTTACGATTTTTTCAGAAGGGCTGAATTTCCAAAAAACTTGAAAGAATTGACGTTGTTCTCTGATGGATGTGGAGGCCAAAACAAGAACAGTCACATAGATCACATGCTAATGATGTGGCTACATAAAGAAGCACCAAAAGGCCTGCAATCTATAAGAATGGTTTTTCCAATAAGAGATCATTCGTACCTGCCAGCGGATCGCATTTTTGGACGATGTGAGAAGCTTATTAGGTCCCATAGCACACTAAAGTCACCAGAAAAATGCTTGTATTCTCAAGTCGGATTGGTTCGAAAGCTTGGGACTGACTGGAAAATATATGACCTGAAATCCGCTTTGTCCACTTTTAAGAAAATCGAATCAATCAGTCATGCTAAGCGAATCTTGATAAAACGGACTTCAAAACAACATGTAGCGGTGAAAACAGAAACCTTTTACAGAAATGACGATGCCAACGGCAAGTACTTGACGTTGTTAAAAAAAGCAAGAAGATTGACAACTTGAGTTTTCCAAGGTTGCCTTTGAGTCATGAAATAAAAAGGACAAAGTTGAAAAGTCTGCATAACCTTTTGGTGCAGCTATCCACAGAAAGATGGCGTGAGGATGAGGAATTGCAATGGCTTCGTCCTATTTTTCCAGAGCCCCTTGAAGAGCTACAAGAGAATAGTGATGAAGACAATGATGAAGATAATGCCCAAGAAGTATGTAACTGCATCGAGGATGATGGTGGAGTGAAAGTTTGAATATTTTTCTCTAAGCCTATTTTTTATAAGATTGTATTCATCGGTAAATGGAATAAAGGTATTTTGACTTAAGTTACCGTTTCCCAAACAGAAGGACTTATTTCACCTTCGGACAAACAAAGTGCATCAAATAGAATCTACTTTTGGTCAAAAAATGGAATTTCTTTGTTTTCCAGGTAATCCTCCTTCACCATCAAAGCCTATCTATTTTCGTGGTATTTGATTCACCAAAATCAAGCATTTGCAGCTACGCATGTTGTCACAGCAGTTTTTTCCACTTTCCTCAATTTATGCGGGTCATAGCATAACGCTTTTTGAAAGTCTGCTCCTCTCATTATCAAAATATGAATCAAATACGAAGCCCGTAGAAATTGCGTAACTACTTTGCTCGATAATCACAATAAAATTTGCTGCGCAAGTAATTCAATAGCCCTATATCACAGTGTAAAAGTTTATCATATACCTGTGTATGAAATTCACAATGGCCGATCTGTAAGTAAACAAGATGACTGTAATGTATTAGTTATATATTCTTCACTTCGTCTATACAATACATAAGAAATAGTTTGGTTGCAATAAAGTAGAATCATGTAACAGAATAGTTGTATAGTTGACAAAAACTGAATCTTGCACTGACGCAAATGTTCTATAGCGGCTGCAAGAGGCTTACACTTTTGTTGTATAACTGTTACCTGCAGCCCTTATACAACCTCTTAAATGACTGAAGTGTCCTATTAGGTGTGCCCATTCCGCTTGTATAGCTGTTCTAAGAGGGTTTTGCCAATGTTCTTACAGTATACAATGCTGTGTAAGGAATACTGTATAATCATTCTTGCAACTCTAATAGGAGTGATAACTGTTAGTTGGGAGGGCTATGTACATACATTCGGTAGAATTTATTATATTCTTCAGTAACTACAAATCTCCTGTTGACATCACTCTTTGTTTCCTTAAGTTTCACAATTAATAACGTTCCCGAATCCTCAATATCATCTAATGTTACCCGGCTGATTTCACACGTTTGACAAGGTCCTGCAATCCCAAATACAACAACAATAAAGCCCATTAAATAAACATCATCGGGAGCATCATTTGAAAAATCATTAAGTTGTGTACTCGTAAAAATCGAAGCTTTCTGAGGCGTGTAACATTTCCCATTTTGTTTCAGAAATGTAATTATTTTGAAATATTTTGAAATGTCTACATTATTATTGGATCGTAACATTCTTTTAATCATTGAATAATTCGACCACACTGTTGATGGCTTTTGCTGTTATGCCAATTCCGAAAAATAAGCCAATAACACTGTCTGCGACAAAGAACTGCATGTTTTTTTCGTCTTCCATTCCATGAATCTTGAATAAGCGGTTTCGTAAATTTTCCGCGATTTAGCGGGCAATAATTTTTGTGACGCTACTTTCGCTACGTCTACTAATTCCGGTGGAGTCCAAGAAAACTCGGAATCGGACATTTTTTACTTTATAGTATTAAAAATAACTTCTAAACAACCACTAAGTTCACAATTTCTAAAACAAATCTCAAAATTAAATTTACAGCTATTTGATCACTTTAAAAGTTTCCTTAGCAACGCAGGTCTAAGTGTCGCTATAAGTACAACATAGCCTATTAATTTCAAAATTCAAATTTTACATCGATAATTTTCTGACTTCAATATTGTAATAATATAATTTTTCAACATTAAATCGTCGTTTTTCCCGGTCACAGAAAAAAATTGTATATTATACACGGGAAAAATACTGCGCGTCGGGAGACAATTCAACCTCAAGCTAAAATTTAGTACTTTTCTCCCTTGTATAATAAATAACTATTTTGTTCGATGCTCATTTTTCGACCGATGCTAAAAAGGTCACTTTGAGCGCGGTAGCTCCCCGTGAAGTCATGGAATTTTGACAAGGCATCAATGAAAGATGTACCTATCCAACGCTAGTCTCCAATAATAGATGGCGCTATTTGTATTGGATATCTTTCGGAAGTCCTGTTTACTTTGCGACGGACCTTGTATATACAAGATGAGACCATAATATAAACTTCGAGAGAAAAAGAGATATTTATCCTTTTGTACTCAATTAATTCAAACTTTAGTTTATTGATAAATCAGCCAGTTCGTATCTTGCTATGTCTTCCCCTTTTCCAAATACGTTCATTAAGGCCCGTATCGTCAGTCGTCCCTACAATTTTAGGGCGCCTTTATGGCCTCCTTGATTGTCATAGTTTTCTACTTCTCCGTGTCAAAACTCTATTTTGAGGTTATGTCACAAACATCTATTTGCATCAAATTGTGCTTGCTTTTGAGTTTTATCATGTTTTATCAGCCTGAAATTTCCTACAATGTAAAAAGAAAACATATCTTCACAATAGGAGAGCACTGACGCTGAATTGGTGCAATCTAGAAATTTTTGAAGGAGAGAAAGGAGTATGACAATCAAGGAGGCCATAAACGCGCCCTACAATTGTAGGGACGACTGACGATACGGGCCTAAGACTCAAGGACACTTGTTCCTATGGAATCATACATCCGTAGTTTCATCATAGCTAACTAATCTGATACTAACATAATACCCCACTTGTCCGTCAACTAGATTTTAGAAATTGTGATAAGAACAGCTCCAAAAATCTTTTCTCGAAAACTATGTGAGTTGGTATTTTTTCATAAAACAAAAAATGAAGTAAATAGAAGATCATTTAAATTGGAAAAAATTAGAGTTGTCGGGAAAGTTTTAAAAAATTCTGCTATAATTTATGTAGGGGTGGGGGTATTTTTCACCCTTCTCGAATACTTTAGAGTCAAATCTTAGGATGTCTATCAAAACATATCTGTTCAAATTTGACTATCGGTTCCAAAAATATCTGGAAAAGTGTGGATTAAAAAGAAAACTGTGTCGCCCTCTAACGGACCAACGAAACGTTTTTGCATTCACCTTTTTTGAGTCTAAAAATAGATGGTATACTTTATCTGAAGTCACTTGAAACACTGTGAAATACTGGGTGCGTTTTATATATCTATATTTAACACGCTCTGTTGCTGCAAAAATCGCCAAATTTCGCAGCAAATATCCCCCGTATAAGATCAAAGGCAGTTTCACCGGTCCACGTGGAGTAAAGCACGCCTATGCGTGGACATAGCCAATGAGAAAGCGTGTATTTCAGAGCTCCGAACAAGTGCAGGTGGCTACTGAAAATTGAAACAGTTTAGCCAGTGCCGTGTAGCGGTGAATAAACGTGTTTTCTTTAGTCTGTCCGTGTTTTTTCATAGATTTTATTAGTTTGTGTGTTTTTGACTTTTGAATACTCAGTTTACTTGTTGATTTAATTGTTGTGTTGATTGTTCTTGTGTGTCCTAAATATGGCACTTTGGAGACCTTGGGAAAATGCTCCAAGCCACGAGGAGATGGTTGATGAACCTGTGCAGGCAGAATTCTTTCATAAAGATTTAGAGGAACAGACCCAAAGAGTAATCCTAAATATGTATGATTGTCTGAAAAACGAAAATCCAGATTCCTCGCAAAATCAAATTTTAAACAGAATTTGTATCCTGACAAAAATCAGTCGGTCTACCATTTATCGGGTTATAAAAAGGGGAGATGTAGTCAACCATTCCTTCCACAGAAAGCGCATAGGGCAAAAATTAAAAAGAATAGACGTGGGTTTTCAGGAAGATATTCGTCGTATAATATACGGATTTTATAAAGAAAATTTGGTGCCCACGTTGGAAATGATACGGGATAAATTAAAAGATTATCCTGAAGATTTTTATAATTACAAATGCTTAGACTCACTGCACTGTATTGTAAAACTGTGTGGTTTTCAATACAAAAAATTAGATAAAAGAATGGTGATTATGGAGTCGTCTCGAATCGTTGAATTGCGCCAAGAATTTTTGCACAAAGTTAAAACCTATAGAGAGCAGAAAAGAAATCTGATTTACCTGGATGAAACGTGGTATGATACCCATGATGTTGTGCAGTACGGCTGGGTTGACGACAGCAACAAGTGCATTTTAAATGCACCATGCAACCGTGGAAAACGAATCATTATTCTCCATGCTGGCAGTGAAAATGGATTTCCCCAAATTCAGTGATTATTATGGACAATGCGCCATACCATTCCAGAAAAACAAAATTCCGAATACAGGCACAAAAAACAAGACATTATTGATTTTATGAAGGATAAGGGAATGGAAATACCACAAAAATCAACCAAAGCCATATTATTGGATCTTATTAAAAGACAAAAATTTGAAAAAGAGTATGTTGTTGACAATCTGCTTCAGCAAAATGGCCATGAAGTATTACGTCTACCTCCCTATTACTGCATTTTTAACCCGATTGAGTTGGTCTGGGCTGCTTTAAAAAAAAAAGTAAGAAAACATAATCAGACCCCTCAATTAAGTGAATCACTATTGGCCACAATAAGAGATGCAGTATCTCATATTGCTGCCACAGACCTATGGAAGCTGTGTTCTAGGCATATTATTGAAAAAGAAAATGAATATTGTGTTTTGCCTCCTGTAAATCCCGTTGTAATTCCTCTACAAGATGACTCTAGCGACAGCTCCGAAGGCGAGGATGATATATAAATACCTATAATGTAAGTCTTTATATACCTTTTTATATACCTACCTGCTATGTAAATATTTGCCTATGTCAAACGTTGGAATTCTGTAATTTTTCCATTTCTTAACTTTCAGTCAACATAAATTAAACTCCCAATATAAGTATTTTTTATCCCAAATCAAAAAAATAAGAAGATAGTAAAATCCATTTATTGTGATATAAAAACATTATTATTATCGTTCTAAATAAATGACGGCACGCCTATGATACGTCATGAAATTACAAAGGACGCGCCGACCAAAGGTTTTTATGCTATTTCAAGTGACTTCAGATAAAGTATACTTCTATGTCCATGGAATATTGGGACACCCTGTATATTAATTCTATTTCAATCAATCATACACGCAAATCTAGCTTTTCTCTTGA